CAAATTTTGGCCTCTACTCGGCACTCAGGGCCATTAAGCAGGGAGGGATCTTTTTCTTGGAAACACCTATTGCGACACGGGACCTCTGTTTATACGGTCTCATCCGAAGGACTGAACTCCACGTCCAACAGTGAGATTCGAACCCGCGACGTAAGGATTGACTCCTTAATTTGCGGCTCTAGAACAGACGCTCAAACCAATGCACCACGCCGGCCTTTTAAAAGACATGAAGCACAAATAAAAACAGAAAGTTCATTTTAATGTTGTTTGAAATAAAATTTAGAGTCTTTAGTTTTTATTTTAAAAGAAACTTTAAAAAAAAATTTATAAAAATTGGTTTTATGCAAAAAGTCTTTTTCTCTTGGGCATCAGTTTGAACATCATTTATATACTAATTACCTTTAAATGATCTTGATTCGTCACATATATCAAATATTTCCTCATGCACCTTCAGTCCCTCGGTGGATTTTATTTCCTTAATATCTTCTTCACTACAACCAAGCAGACGTTTGAGTAGCGTGGTTTTGCCCGCCCCAGCACATCCTACAATCATCCCCCGGGCGTGGTGGACTGTCTGTGTTCCTCTCTTAGCGTACTCCACATACCGCTCTCTGGCCTCCTGGTCCCACTCTAGTATTTCTGCAGGAATCTCAACTATCAATAAATAAAAAAATCAGTGTTTAAATCATTTAAAATTACTTTAGAAATGAATGATGGAAAGGAAAAATGAACATATTTTGACGGCTGTACATTTAGATATTCAGGAAGAATCTAAAGTTTATCTATATATCTATAATGGCATTGAAAGATAAAATCAATGGAATACATAAACGGAATTTTATCTACTGTCATGGCAATGTTTAAGATTTGAATATGCATGCTCATATGCATGTTAGTGTTCAAACGAAAATCAAACAACTGAATCTGAAAAAAAGATATTTAAATCAACAACATTACTGTTTGTGAATTTTAACGTTCTTCACATAAGTATTAAAATTATTGATCATAGTGTATCGACTTAGTTTATACTTCAGTAAAAAAAAAATGGAGATTCAATAACCTTACAGATCATTAAATAAAATGATCAAAGACAAAATGAATGACAAATAGAAGACATGAATGTAATAATTTTAAGAATATTTTATCAATATGATAAAAATCCTTAAGGTAAAAGGTTGACACAAACAAACTTAATATCATACATGTAAGTTTTTATAAATTAAAGTGCTTGTCCTCGTAAGATAATATTGCTGTAAGTATTCTCAAATGCATTAGTCATGTATAAATTGATCTTAACGTGCATGTACATTAATTAAAATAGTGAATATGTACATAGGTAGGAGACATATATTTAAATACCTTGGTTATAGTATTATTACGTGATATGAGAAAAGACAATATGTGCAGCTATATCAAGATACTCACAGCGTTGAATGATCTTATCACGAATCCCCGTGTCTGCTATAGAGCAGTATTTGATGATGTCTAGTTGTAGTCTCTCAATGACGGGATCTAACATCTCCGGTTCTTCCGGTACATACAGACATCTCTCTCCCTCGCTTCTTTCATAATTCCAGGACCGGCAGTATTCTGTTATCACGTTACCCGATGCTGTGTTTAAGAAGAACTCCAGATCAATGTCCTCTATCAAGCACTCTGTAACAAAGGCGTACATGACGTCATGTCGGATGTTGTCTGATTTAAATGTAATTGTATTGTCTTTTATCTGCAAGATTCCTTCTGGGAAAGCTGCTGTACTTATTTGACTTGACATTTCTTCCTCCTTAAAGTATCTATCCTTGAGCTTGTTAAACATGTTCTTGCTGGAATCTTTCCTTGTATTCAAGGTGTACCAATCAACCAACAGTAAACAGTACAACAGACTTCTCACTTCCGGTGTGTATTCGTGATATTTACCTGTAATTATTAAGAAAATGTATATTATGCATATTTCCTTGTTTTTCCTCTTAAAAGATTCCGCAATGCAACATTATACCCTTAATTTTGATTTCCTGTAATCATTTATAAAGTATCATTTAACTTCTAATCTTCTGATTATATGATATCAATTTCAGTGACGTAGCAAAATATGTAAAATGGGCAGCCAGAGAAAAAAAGGCGTACCTTAAAACCTTAAAAACTTGACAAGTAAAAACAGGAAACGTGTCGATACTTGAAAATCCTATTTCGTGAAGGGGTGGGGGTGTTTGAGTTTCCTCTTCTTTCGAAGCTAGCTTTTTTTTTACTACATGAACTTTTTCCGTTACTACCCTATAATGCAAAAGAGGAGTAAGGGGGAGGGCTCAAACATACTTTCAAGAATGATTTAGTATAGTAAAAAGTTCTGTCTTAAAAATAAAATCGGGGCGAATGGAGAGTCAACGCTTTTGAACATCGGTTCATTGTAAAACACCCTTTATCCTCCTTTGACTGATTGATTGATTATATATTGTTTAACGTCCCTTTTGAGAGTTTTTCACTCATATGGAGACGTCACCGTATACTCGGCACTTAGGGCCATTGAGCAGTGAGAGTTCTATATCGTGCCAGCGCTTACCGTGACACGGGACCTACATTTCTAAGGTCATATCCGAATGACCCGTGACTTTCACTTCTATTGCCTCGGCGCTTGGCGAAGAAACAGTCACTACCTTTGTTTACGTCTTCATGGTCTTAGGTATGACGCGGCGCCGCGAACGAAAATTGAACCCGGGCCTCCAGATTATAGGCGCTTGGTTACAGGATGATGTATTTTGTGTATTATGTGTTTTTTTATGTATGCCTGAATACCCTCATTAAAATAAAACAAAATTCGCCGAAATTAACACGTTTCAAAAAATGTCATATTTACTGTATATAAAAAGAGTAAAGGAGCGTCACTCGCCATCTTGAAAATCAGGGGGTAACTCGGTTCACACTAAATTTTCATCTATATCTACATTTTTCCTACCGGTGTCGGGTGAGATTTAGCTTCGAAAATGATTGTTTTTATTTTAATGAGGGTATTCAGGCACACATAGAAAAACACATAATACACAAAATACACCATCCTGTAACCAATCGCCTATGCCCCAGATCCTCCTTTGATTGATAAAAAATTTGAAATATATTATAAGAATTTTTTTTTAATTTATTTTTTTAATTCCCATAGGAATTTTCATATACTCGTCAATTTAAAACAAAAACAATAAATCTTTTAAACGCACGTTGTTATTGAGTTAAATGCTGACTGACGTTTTTCATACTAATTGTTAGTCTATTTCTTATACACAGAATTGAAGATGGATTTTTAACGTTATTTCCCGATCATGACAAGGACACACGGCCAGTGAGACTGGTGGGCAAGGGATGGCCACTCCTCCTTAGCACCTGATCTAGCCTTTTATGTTTTTGATGTCCGAGTTTGCAATGCTCCTATTTTGTTTACTTTGAATACTGTTCGTTATCTCCATATACTTCATACTCTATGGGAAACTAGAGGTTCTGTGAGCAATTGGCTCACTAAATGATACCCCCCGCCTCCCATATGTGTATAAATGGCAGTATCCATGTTTTGCAATGGGAAACCCAAAATATGTGTCGGATCAAAAAGTAAAATAGGAGGTGCACAATGGCAATATGTAATAAAGATTCTGTGAAAGTTTCATCAAATTTCATCCAGTGGTATTAGAGGAGTTGCGGATAAGAGATGGGTACCCCAAAGCGTAACAGACGGACGGACGGAATTAACGATTACTATATACCCTCCCGCTTTTCAAGCGGGGGGTATAATAAATCTCGGTCTTTGCTTTTTAGATAAAGTCCAACATACGTGTATGATATTATTCTCTGCATGCATTCAGAGTTAATCAGTTACAAGTAATAAGAATTAGGATTAGATCAGATGGATTTTAAGACCTTCATCAGAATTCTTCCTTGTGTAAAAAAAAATATCGAGATTTAATCTTTATTACTGCTAGAGTGCCACCCATTGAAAAAACTGTATATTGATTGAGCTCAGAATATTGTGCTCGTTTCTTGATTAATTCTTCCAAATTCTTACTTCAATTGCAAAACTAGAAGTACTGTGAGCGATGAGCTCACTAAATGATAAACCCCGCCTTCATATAGTTATAATGGCAAAGTCCATGTTTGCTGCGGCCAGAAAAACCCAAAATATGTGTTGGATCAAAAAGTAAAATAGGAGGTGCACAATGGCAATATGTAATAAAGATTTTGTGAAAATTTCATTCAATGGTATGAGAGGAGTTGCGGATAAGAGATGGGTACCCCAAAACGTAACAGACGGACAGATTACTAGTATATACCCTCCCGCGTTTGAAGCAGGGATATAAAAAGGGAATATTTCAAACAATTCCTCTCTCTTTTATCAATTACTCTCGTACTTGACATCTGAACGAAGCATATTGGGCCGATTTATCTTTGAAAACAAAATGACAGTATAAATAAGCGAAATGTTCGATGATAACAACATCAGGCTCAGGAGACTATTAACAACAATTATGAGGAATGTTGATTGTGGAAACAGCGAAAAAATATATAAGGAACATACGGTTCCTAATATTTTGAGATTACAGTTTTGAAAACATATAGAAGTAAATCGAGGATCAAGCGCACTTTTTGCGCAATAATATTACAGTTTTTTCAATGGGTGGCACTGTAGTTCTCCGGTCTTTCAATATATTTTATTCCGGGGAGCTACAGGTCTGCAGCTATATCGCTCGGAAATTGAATTTTACCGCACGCATACAAAGAATTATAAATTTACGCTCTTGACCTTTGAGCTTCGGACCCGAAATCACTAGATTTCTTTCTGAGGCAATAGGGGGTCGCTGTATAATTTTTTTTTGCAACCGCTCTAATACTTATTAAGATAACGTGCAATGCAGAAACGAAAGTATTACAGAGAGAAAAATGCACTCGGACGGACAGACAGACAGGCAAACCAAATTTACATTGTAATATCCCTTGCATTCTTGAACCTAGCACTCTAGCTCTCCGGTCTTTCAATATATTTTTTTCGAAGAGCTACAGATCTGCAGCTACGAGCGATAGCTCTACAAGCTTTTATGCTTTTGCAATGAAATTATTTACTACTTCTCACCATGGCCCTGCCTGCCATTCTTTATCATCCTTTCGACAAATTCACATCCATGCAAGCAAGATACATGTACATGTATTTGATTAAGATCAATATCTACTCTACATTGTATATTAAAATTCTTCCTTGGTTAAGGTTTTCTTTAATTCTGGGTAAGATATAGCAAATACGTAGATAACTATTGCAAGGAACAATGAATAGAATATACATGTACATATAGAATATACATATAGAATATACAATGTAGCTGGCGTATAGACGGGATAAACCTAAAAATTCAAACAAAGTGTTGATGTTCCACTAGTAAAGTTTTTAACGAAAAATTTATTCACAAGAAAAACCGACAAACAAACCACATGTATAAATCGAACAAAGGAACTGGTGCATATGAAATGTATATTTCAGGGAATCTTTGTATCTCAATGACTACTTACTTGTTTTCCTGTAAGCTTTGTTGTCGATGATGTAAATGTCCCAGTGTGGATGTAGACCTATACAAGATCTCACGATGTCAGGTCTCGCCCAGTAATTGTACCTCCAGAGCCACGTCACGTGATCTATACTGTCATGTGATCTTCCTCTGTAATGTACAGCCGCCCCTCCTTTTCTTAGATCCGATAGAAATTCTTTCCTTTTATCTTCACTCTCCTTTAGGATTTGGTTCGAAACATTCACTGTGGAATAAGACAAATATTTTTACAGTGTTACCCATACGAAAATGTGTAGTTGACCGTCAACTAGCCGTCAACTAACCGTCAACTAGTCGTCAACTGATAATGCGAAAACAGTTGACCACTCGGAGTTGAATGCTTTTCTGAAAAGCGATCAACTGATTTGCATAAAACAGCCAGTTGACCATTAATTGAATGCTTATACTTTGAAATTTCATGTAGAACCAGAGTTGACCACTAGTTGAACACTCCGAGTTGTTAGAAAATGTCTCCCACGCTACATTTATGTTGCGTTCAAATACATTTTCATAGATCGGGTTTGTTATACCATAATTACAACAACCAAGATTTGAATCAGTACATGTGTGTTTTCTGTAGAATATGGGAATTTTGTATTGTCTTCGTGATGATTCCGCGTGTGAAATATCTCATGTATTATTGTAAGTATATAAAATTTTAAGATTTGTTTTACTAAGCTTGTTATTTTTAAACAGATAATAGGAATACAAAAAACTCTAGCCAGTATAGGTCCCTAACCTCCCTATTTTTGTGTACTTTTTTAAATATTGAAAGAATTCTGAAAACTTGTCATGCATCAAGTTTTTTGTTGTGTTTCTTCTTGTGTTGGTAAAAAATATACCGTTGTTTTAGACTAATTCTATATATACATGTAACCTTTTCTGCCCAGAAATGAAGAAGGCATGTAACAACTTATGAGAGAGTGCCAGCTCAATTCATTTATAATGTATTTAGATTTACAAGTACATTACTGTCAAATTAGAAACTCCATTGGTTTGACTTTTCATATTTTCAAGAACACTGCTTGTCTTAGATTTCAAATCTCCCTCCATTTTTTTCAAATATTTAATGAAAGCAACCTAAGTGCACTGCCTAATGGAGTATTCAACTAGCGGTCAACTGCAAAGGAAATAGAGGAGTAATCAACTAGCGGTCAACTGTAAAGGAAATAGTGGAGTATTCAACTAGCGGTCAACTGCAATGGAAATAGAGGAGTAATCAACTAGCGGTCAACTGCAAAGAAAATAGTGGAGTATTCAACTAGCGGTCAACTGTAAAGGAAATAGTGGAGTATTCAACTAACGGTCAACTGCAAAGAATATATAGGAGCATTCAATAGTGGTCCACTCTATGCAAATGAGTTGACCGCTCCCTCATTTGCATGGCAAAATTTCAACTAATGGTCAATTGACGGTCAGTTGACCGTCAACTAGTAGTCAACTGAATACTCCGATTGAATTCTAATAGTATAATTTTTCATATGGGTATATTTGTTATTTCAAATAGATTAAAATTAAAAAGGAATGCCCTGCATGTGTAACATATATCACCGTCTGTGCTTTATTCCCCATTTACATATTTCCAGCGTGTGAAGATTTTTAAGAGTCTGATCAATTACTGTTCATTACCATCACTTTTTTTCATTTCATTATTAACTAGTGCTAATTGTAACGGGGACCGTTACAGATGTTCCCCAAACGCTCCCCATGTCTCTTATCGTGCCTTATTCCTCTTAGACTTTTTATAATATGCTAAGTATCACAGAATATTTCATTTAAGAATATAGAAGTTGCAATGATATCAACTAAATATTGTTTAACTTTTTGCATGCGCGCACACGTACATGTACATGCATATGCAAGATGATTATGGCATGTTGATTAAGCGATTAACATATCTTTCTATCCCGCGAATCAAAGAAAAAAAAAACATATATAAATTTACCATTTTTCAAGCATATGTCATTTTTTTTAATATATCAATACACATTTTATTTTCTACTTATTTTAACCTCGGGTTCAAAGTTGGTTTTATTCCAACGACAAGGCAGGGTAAAAGTCGACTAAGGGTATAACGTCAATACTTAACCAATTAAAATGAACTTATTCAATAGTAGTTCTGTGACAATCACTTGTGTATCAGGTTAGCTTTGCGGCCTGTAACAATGATTTCCCATAGTTCTTTGTCGTTGCAAAAGTCACGTGATTAAAAATTGGCTGGGATATTCCCGGGTGAGCTGCCGTGTGAGTTGCACGTACATTAGAGGGCAGTCGAGTTTACTGCAGGGGCAGTATATTTTGCAGTATGCAACGCACACAATCTAACTATTAACAAAGGCACGGAAGAGCAGACCGTGGTATGTATATTTTGTGTTTTTTGAATTTATTCTTAGAGTGTATTTTGTAAGTATTCTTGTTTATCGAGTAACCTAAATATAACCTTGGCTTACATTCACTTGTCTAAGTTACCTGTGTGGTCAGTCAAGTGTATCGGTAGCGAGAGTTTCAATACCCAGTTCTTTTACTGTCGATAGAATATTGTATGACTTTATTTGTATCACTTTTGAGTGTTTCTTTAGGTGTATTTTTGTGCTCGATATTTTTCTTTGGCGAATTCTTTAAATGTATTGGGCGGAAGTGACAGCCGGAAGTGGTCGCCATATTGTTTTGAAATTACAATACAATGTATGCTTTTAATCATAACTTGTTGAACTATTCAGACAGACATATTTCATTTATACTTTATCTAAATATTACATCATTAAGAGTTGCCATTATAATATGTTGCCATATTAGACATTTATGAGTCCTGTAAATTGTAGCGTTTTGATGTTGGTCACGGAAGAGCAGACCGTGCGTAATGATGTTGGTGAAGTGGACGTAGCTGAGTGAGCTTACGATCTAAGAGTACGTTATGATGATGGTGAAGTGGACGTAGCTGAGTGAGCTTACGATCCAGATGGGACAGTCAAGCTTTTTTCTAATGGTTATCATCGCCTTTCTACAAGTTCCGGGACTACAGCCCCAGAAGCGATCGGAGGATTGATTAACCTGAGCATATTGTTGAAGTGAACATTACAGGGCAACAAAATAAATCATAATCATTTCTGAGATAATTTTATAAAGAAACATTTAGTCTGTCAGTCTGTCTGTCAAGTTATAAGGTTTATTGATTTTTTTTCTTACAAGTATATGTGAAAGTGTGCAAGTGCGTGTGAGTGTTAGTGTGATAATGTAAATATATTTTTCTTCCATTTTGTAAATAAATTTCGTTAATTGGAACTATCTTGATTGTTATTGGAGAAAGCCTGGCTCAACCGCGTTACAAGTTCCATACATGGAAAAGGAATTTTCCTTTCTGTTCAGAATTTTTTTTGAATATTTCCTCTCAGGCCATTTTGACAACTCTGATACCTGTGCCTGGTAAATTTCATATACTTTGTAAATAAATATATAAAGGTTTTTTGACTGGAACTATTCATTTTTTCCAATGCATAGGGGGCTACTCTCTGGGTTTTACAAGAGATGTTTAAAAAGACATTCGTGTCAGCTAATGTGACCAATATTGTTTAACACCTTCTTATTAATATTTTTTTCATGAATGCAAATATCTGATTATTTTACGAAGGAGCGTACATGTATTTTGATTTTTAATATACCGAAAATCGCTATTTCTGGGAATTGCGTAATTCTAAAAAAAATTCAAATAAATTTCAAAGGTAAATTAAACAAAGGATGCTTGGTATTAAAATATTATTTCAAATCAGTAGAATTGAATGCTATTAACGACATCTGAATAAATGGGCTATAAAAGGCTTATATGCCAACTTTGGTCATCTGCACTTTAATTTTAAACACAACAGGATTTGTAATTTTTTCTGTATAAATTAATAATTTCTATATACTTTGGAAACTCACTTGAAATATTTTAATACACTTTCCTCGAGCTCTTTTCTGCAGTTTTCCTGAAATTTTATGTGGGTCCGAGGTGATATTTGAGTTTAACAGTGATTCTCTACGTTGCCATTAATTTGATTTGTTTGTGTGTGTGTGTGGGGGGGGGGGGTATTTTTATTCTTAACCTATTTAACGTTGGAGTTGAATCTTGTATCTTATTCCAAGAACTCAAGATTAATTGTGACATTTGGATGAAAGGTCAAGGTCATTAAAAACCACCACCTCCTTAACTTCTAACCTGTCAACCGAAATAAACTCTGAAAGGTGTTTCTAGATACATGTACGTGTACTTCATGTTTCTTTTTACCTTTGGGTCAAGGACAAAGTTTAAGGTCGATTTCAAGTTCATAGGTCAAGTTGATTTTGGTAAAAAGCTAATATCAACATTTTATTCAGGTTTCCAGTGACCTTGACCTAAGTTTCAAGGTCAAGGGTAAAAAGATCTGCATGCTTCAGTATGTTACATGTCTTGACATTTAGAAGTTCTTAATTCTGCATGAACATCAAACACTCAAGTATACTGCCTTTTAATACATTGTTAGCGGTTGCATGTGCATGCACGCCCATGCATTTACTTTTAATAGTAGTATAATGTAGGTAATCATTATATCTATTCATATTTTAAATTTCACCCTGTATTATTGAGAACCAAGAAAGTTGTAGGCATTTGAAGTTTTAGCCAATCAGATTGCAGCACACGTGCATGTGCGTGCGTTTATGATTATTTTTATATATCATGCTGTAGATCTTCATTATGTAAGGTTATGTTCAAAATTTCAAAGAATTTTGTCAGAAAACAAAATAGATATTTAAACTTTTAGTTTCAGCCAATCGCAGCGAAGAGCACCTGCATGCGCGTGAGATCTTGCTATTTTGACCATGTCATCATGTCTATACTTCCATTATATCCTTATATTATGAGTTTCAAAGCATTTCATCCTATATTTAAAAAGTTATGGCTAAATCTGTTATATTGGTCATTTCTTGCGTCACACGTGCGCGCACATGCACGCACGTGCGCGCAAAATGACCTTCGTTCGGCACATCTATGTATATAGCGGAAGTTTAACATGTACAACTTTCTATACGATGTAGCTGCTAAGCATCAGTCACTATTTACAAGCCTCAAGAAGTAAACATCTGAGAACTTATTCTTTAAATAAATATATTTCTATTACACTTTCCTTTTCTAATTTATAAAGATTACATAAAAATGTTCAGAATTCAATCAAATATGAAGCTTTTCTGAAATCTGTGAATAATTCCATGTTTTTCTTTCATATCGTTTTGATAACATTTTGCATTAATAAGAACTGTTTGTCAAAAAAATGGAGTAAGTAGCTGAAAACGTTTAAAGAAACTTAAATACACAAGTACCTGTGAAGCCATTTTCTATATATTATAAAATGCTGAATTAATATAAACCCACTGACAATAGTTTAATGCTTAATTTAATCACTCACATATCTGGGGTATCTTATTATAAATACTCGTGTCCTCCATGGTGACGTGAGTCAGTATGTTCATCTGTAGACGGAGTATCAGTAAGTCATTACAGCCACGACTACGGACACACTTCTCTCTAGGTTTTCTGTTGTATTCCTCTGATCTCAGGTACACACTAGCTGTGTCATAACTACTGTAATAGAATGGTATATAATATTTTATTGATGTTATCCTATACATTGTCTCGTCCTTTGTGTCCTCCGTTATTTTGTCCTGATCATCCCAGAGGTAATCACATGACTTCAGTCTGTCCAGAGTCTGTTGTACTTCCTCACGTGTTAAAGTGTTACGGTACACTAACTGTCGCATCTCATTAAGTAAGTCCATCCACTCTGTGTCAGAGAAGTCAGGAGGACCGGAGTCAGAACACAGAAAACAGAATAACACGGACACCTCGTCATCAGTCAGTGTGGAGAACTTATCTGAAAAAATAAAAACAGGAAAAAACAATTTCTTTAAATTTACTAAAATCGGTTTCATAATGATTTGTTTTTATCTTAAAGTGTACTAGATACATTCATTTAAACGATAATTACTTATCAGCAATGAACATTAATTGCAATGATTTTTATCAATTAGATTCTCCAGAAAAAGTGTATTATTTGATTTTTTTTTTTTTATTCTGCACAACATTAGTTATATTATGAGCAGTAAATGCATTTCCATTAGGGAATTAACAATTCTCCAACGAGTTTATTATCAAAATATATCTTAAGGCCTTCATCATTCAAACCAATTAAGAAAACGTGATTAAGATATTTATTATTATTTAGATATTCAAAGGAAAGTGCCGTGGTCCTTGGAACTGGACGCTACAATGATATGTTGTCCATATACGGAATTATGTAGATAGTAGACACATAACCAATATCTGTATATGCCTGTGCCCACACAGCTTATTTGAAAAACGACTAATTTTTAAGCTTATCTAGAAACGTTCGTTAGCTTATAATGCCACCACCTGACATGTATAGTAAAACTAACCAACTCCCTTCTGCTGACTCACTGATTGCATAAAAATTTAACCAATACATTAAATAAATAAATTGTTCAATTCAGAGAGCAAAATCAGTTATCAGATGATGACTACATGCGACAATTAAAAGTTTGAAAAAAAAATCTTATCAAGTTTTTTTTATATATTTTTTTATTAATTAGATTTGAATTTTATAAACTGAAACCCAGCTTTTATCCGTGAGTACTTTATTTCGTGATTTATCGGGGGAAACTAGATACATTTTCGCGGAAAATTTTCGAAGACGAGTAAAAGTAGGTATACGATATACGAGTACCTGTACACTGTGCAAAATAAGTTTGCCATGCTACACAGACAATTTTTTTACTTTATTGAACTTGTATTTGCACTTTATCAAAGTAAAAAAAAGACAAGACCTGAGCATTCAAAACTTCTCAGATAGGTTTATTTTTGCAAAATTGCGTCAAACATGAAGGTCTACGTCAAAGGGTCAGAGGTATTAGCATGTTGTAGAAATGTCTTCTCAAAGGCAATATACATGTATAGTATGAAATCATTATCTGTTTTCAATCGAACATTATGCACAATTTAAAGTAATGTTTGAATTTTTAAAAGGAGATCAAACTCCAAGGTCGTTTTCACAGGTGTTAAAATCAAAATTTAGAAATTTAGAAAGGTCTTGTGCCAGGCTATGCATATTATAAGCAAAATGAAATCCTATCTCTTCTCATTAGTTTTCCTGACATACGAACAGACTGACATATTTGCAGATGGACGGACAGACAAGAAAAATTTACTAATCCCCCCTCGCTTTCGTGAAATTTAAGCGGACAATAAGCTTCAAGAAAACGGAATAATACTAAAAAATGATTTATTTTTTGTGGGGAGCAATGTGGATTTCGTGGTTCGCTCTTACCCATGCAAAAATTTACACTGTCACGTATATTTTTGTTGATATATTCATTGAATATAGGATATTATCAATGAAATCAGGTGACAAAGGATAGTTTCGGATTAAGTACCGCCAAAAAAAAAAAGAAAACAAATAGAGAAACCTAAAGTTTGATTGTATGTTATAAGTAATTTTATAGCTGAATATTTTATGGGTGCATTAAGAGGTAATTAGTGGCCTTGTATATTTTATTCAAATATGACATTTTAGTAGTGTCACTTCACCATTACTTTGTGTGGTAGCTAAGGTCAATAGCAAGGGCCTGGAAGCAGTTGCGGCTCTGGCGAAATAGTGATAATAGGCTTGATTAACATGCAATTTTGAGACTGTCCCTGTGCCATCATTAAGGCTAATTATGTTAGTTGTACATCTTTTATTCTTTAAAGCTTCAAATTCCTCAAGAGATTAGATCATACAAAGGGGTAATCAAAAAGTTCGTTGATTGAGGCTATAAAACTAGTACTAGGTTTTCTGAGCTTACAAAATTTATATGGAACATAAAACAACAAAAAATAAAGAAATGTTGGAAATTTCAGCATGAAACGTTCATTTTTTTCCAAAATTATTAGAAAATAACAACAACATCATATGATCAACCGGCGCCGTCGCCGTTAGTTTCATGACGTCCAACAACGTCATAATTTTTCAATGTCCGCTTCTTTTAACTCGTATACACTTACTTTTATGAAATTCCCTAGAGCTGAGTAAGGAATTCAACCCGTCTTGTTTTTATGACATAACAATGTCATGAACAGCAGCTTTCAAAACTTAAAGGAATGTTCGAAAATCAAACCCCTCCCCCTTTTTAACGTCATTTTCAAGGCAATATTTGTTTGGATATTCCATGTAAGATTTACAATAAAATTTCATAGAACTTCCAGAACGAGGTAAAAATAAAAAAAAAAAATTATGGAACAATAGTGTCCCAAAATATACCTGAGTTAACGAGATTTTTGGATGTCAAATGTTCATATCAAAATAGATTATCTTAGTTACACTGAGGCCTAAAAAAACATCGTTTTCGAGGTTGCACCCCCTGGGCATACCATTGCTTAAAGAAACTTTACCAGTTTTTTTTAATTGATTTGTGGTTTATTCTAGAGATAGAAAAGGTGATGTCAACTGAATATTCTAAAATTCATTGATGTACCTAGATCGGTATTAATCCTTTGGCACTAGTCCACGAACTTTTTGATAGCCCCTCGTACATGACGATTGTACTAATATTACATGTATAGAGGAAATGACATTTTCCAATGTACATTTTTAAAGCAGCTTACAACTAAGTAAACCGTCAATCAAACGTTTTGGGTGTCAAACTATCCTCTGCCACCTAACGCACTGGTTGCATTTACCTGATAAAGATGTCTTCCAACGTGAATAATACCCTGGTCCAAAGGGATTATCTGAAATCAAATAATAACAAATGTTAAACAAACTACTAATAATCTGATAAAAAAAATAAGGCTGAGTTTAGCTTATGGTCTAGGTGTCATTAAATATTCCTATTGGTGGAAAGAATTTTTTTTATTAATTTTAGATTATTAAAAAGCATTCCCATGTGGTAAAGATTGAAATTTGCTTAAATCATAACTCCAAGAGTTATAGCGGGGCCAAAAGAAATGTTTTACATGAGAAAAGAAGGGGGGGGAACTTCTCAAGAACAGAAAAGCTATGTTAAATCATGTTAACATGTATACAGGTAACTCCTGATGGCTCGAACTTCGATCTCTCGAAGTTCTTGAAAGCTCGAAGTGAGTCTCCGGTCCCGAATTTTTTCCCTATATAACTAAGCAAATTTACTCTTGATTTCTCGAACTCTTGATCTCTCGAAACCCTTGATCTCTCAAAGTAAAATTGCAGTCCCGCTGTTCATATTCTATTGAAATTCACCCTTGATACCTCGAAGTGGCTATGTGTATACAAAGTTACATAATTAGCAACTTTACCTGGACATTTAATGACCCCAGGCAGAAGACGAGGGTCTCGTGAAACCGGATGTTTATTCGGGTGACACTTATTCTGCAAGGTGATAATTGATTTATAATTAATTTTATTGTACCTATATGCTGTCAAAATAATTATCATCGTCTTTATTACGATAATTCAGAAACGTAGTGTCGCCGAGAAATTGCACGGTAAATGCAGATTAAGAGACGAAACAATTAATGAATTAAATTTTTATTTCGAATCAGTTTCAAAGTTTAACGACATGTGAAAATTCAGAAACAGCCTTGCTGTCAATATGACGACTTTTTTTGGACAAATACATACAGAATTTCGTTCAATGAACATATCTGGAAAAGTCACAATGCTATGTACCACGCGACCCTGGTCTATGCCGTTTTCATATAACGAATGAGTAGAATAATATCTTTATGATAAAAAACATTTTTAAAACATGAACTGACGATGTCCATTTTTTCCTTTACTCAGTTAAATATTCAATTAAAATACGAAAACATATCGTTGTTTTGTAAAAACCACGTGTAAAAGGTAAGAACTGCATGAAAATCAACACATCCGGTATGACTTATTTTAAAACCTGTCAAACAAACCCGGAAAAATCCGGACTCTTGAAAACTCGAACTCTTGATCTCTCGAAGTTTTTCCTCGGTCCCGCGGACCTCGAGGTTTCAATAGTTACCTGTAGTTAACATTCAAATTTCTTCGAATCCTGGCCTATGGGGATATGGAGAGGCCACGATGGTGGATCAAATTTTTACTATAGGATTTAACGTTCTTTTTGAAAAATTTTATCGATGTGTAAACTCTTGATATTTTACTCACAAACTAAATAGTTTGTGAGTGAAATGTCCAGAGTTTACACATCGATAATTTTTTCAAAAAGAACGTTAAATTCTTGTAATTCCAATCTCAAATTTTTTTTAAAATATTTAATTTTTTCTCTTTGAGGCCTCCATACAATCCGTTATTTCTGGACGGCGTAGAAATACATTTTATCGTAAAAGAATGTAATTGAGATGATTTTCGATAGAATTCAACTTAAATTGTCTACACAATCGATAAATAAACTCATAACAACTAATGGAATGCTGTTTAAGTCAACAAATATCGTAATTACGAGTTAACTTCAGAATAGTTTGTCTTTGACCTTGGCCATTTTGGCATAAACAACAACTCTTATAGTCATAGCGAAACTTGCAGACAGACGACGCTTTCAATTTGCACTTGTTTATTCAAATATTGACGAACAATATAGGAAGTTAATATGAATTTGATTCTTATAGGGCAAGAGTTTGAGGTACGTTTCTTTTCCCTGTCAAAACGATACAGATTGAGCTTATCGTTGAGACAGCGAATTTTAAAATTCACACTCGTGATCGGACAGTGACATAAACATTCTCACGGCGTCTATCAGTTAGGCAGTCTAGTATGTTGTCAGTTTTGTTTAAGCCCTAATTAAATTTAAAGTTTCTTGTATTCATTATTTAGCCAGAACAGACCTTCATTGTTTATACGATAACCTAGTAGTGTCATCAAGAAAGTAGTTCTGATTGAAAGAATTTATCGATGTGTAAAAATTTTCTGGAACGTGTTCTCGTCCAATCAAAACACAGAAAATCAATAGATAAAACTAGTGCTAATTGTAACGGGGACCGTTACAGATGTTCCCCAAACGCTCCCCATGTCCCTTATCGTGCCTTATTCCTCTTAGACCTTTTATAATATGATAAGTATCACAGGATTTCATTTAAGAATATAAAAGTTGCAATGATATCAACTAAATATTGTTTAACGTTTTGCATGCGCGCACACGTACATGTTCATGTATATATATGCAAGATGATTACGGCATGTTGATTAAGCGATGAACATATATATCTTTCTATCCCGCGAATCAAAGAAAAAACATATATAAATTGACCATTTTTCAAGCATATCTCATTTTTTTTATATATCGATACACATTTTATTTTTCTACTTATTTTAACCTCGGGCTCAAAGTTGGTTTTATTCCAACGACAAGGTAGGGTTAAAGTCGACTAAGGGTATAACGTCAATACCTAACCAATTAAAATGAACTTATTCAATAGTAGTTCCGTACATGGAAAAGGGATTTTCCTTTCTGTTCAGAATTTTTTTGAATATTTCCTCTCAGGCCATTTTGACAACTCTGATACCTGTGCCTGGTAAATTTTATATACTTTGTTAATAAATATATAAATGTTTTTTGACCGGAACTATTCATTTTTTCCAATGCATAGGGGGCTACTCTCTGGGTTTTACAAGAGATGTTTAAAAAGACATTCGTGTCAGCTAATGTGACCAATATTGTTTAACACCTTCTTATTAATATTTTTTTCATGAATGCAAATATCTGATTATTTTACGAAGGAGCGTACATGTATATTGATTTTTAATATACCGAAAATCGGTGTTTCTGGGGATTGCGTAATTCTAAAAAAAAATCAAATAAATTTCAAAGGTAAATTAAACAAAAGATGCTTGGTATTAAAATATTATTTCAAATCAGTAGAATTGAATGCTATTAACGACATCTGAATAAATAAGCTATAAAAGGCTTATATGCCAACTTTGGTCATCTGCACTTTAATTTTAAACACGACAGGATTTATAATTTTTTCTGTATAAATTAATAATTTCTATATACTTTGGAAACTCACTTGAAATATTTTAATACACTTTCCTCGAGCTCTTTTCTGCAGTTTTCCTGAAATTTTATGTGGGTCCATATTTGAGTTCATAACAGTGATTTTCTACGTTGCCATAAATTTGATTTGTTTGTGTGTGTGGGGGGGTGGTTATTTTTATTCTTAACCTATTTAACGTTGGAGTTGAATCTTGTATCTTATTCCAAGAACTCAAGATTGATTGTGACATTTGGATGAAAGGTCAAGGTCATTAAAAACCACCACCTCCTTAACTTCTAACCTGTCAACCGAAATAAACTCTGAAAGGTGTTTCTAGATACATGTACGTGTTCTTCATGTTTCATTTTACCTTTGGGTCAAGGACAAAGTTTAAGGTCGATTTCAAGTTCATAGATCAAGGTGATTTTGGTAAAAAGCTAATATCAACATTTTATTCAGGTTTCCAGTGACCTTGACCTAAGTTTCAAGGTAAAGGGTAAAAAGATCTGCATGCTTCAGTATGTTACATGTCTTGACATTTAGAAGTTCTTAATTCTGCATGAACATCAAACACTCAAGTATACTGCCTTTTAATACATTGTGTGCGGTCGCATGTGCATGCACGCCCATGCATTTACTTTTAATAGTAGTATAATGTAGGTAAGCATTATATCTATTCATATTTTCAATTTCACCCTGTATTATTGAGAACCAAGAAAGTTGTAGGCATTTGAAGTTTTAGCCAATCAGATTGCAGCACACGTGCATGTGCGTGCGTTTATGATTTTTTATATATATCATGCTGTAGATCTTCATAATGTAAGGTTATGTTCAAAATTTCAAAGGATTTTGTCAGAAAACAAAATAGATATTTAAACTTTTAGTTTCAGCCAATCGCAGCGAAGGGCACCTGCATGCGCGTGAGATCTTGCTATTTTGACCATGTCATCATGTCTATACAACTATTATATCCTTATATTATGAGTTTCAAAGCATTTCATCCTATATTTAAAAAGTTACGGCTATATCTGTTATATTGGTCATTTCACACGTCACACGTGCGCGCACATGCACGCACGTGCGCGCAAAATGACCTTCGTTCGGCACATCTTCATAACATACCTAGTGACCCTAAAAAGGTTTCACCTAGATCGGATGAGTAGACACTCGCGGACAAAAAAGTACCGGAGAACAAAGAAAAAATTCAGAAAAAGTAAAAACAATATGTTCCCAAACTTCGTTTGGGGAACATAATAAGGATTGGAATTATAAAGTAATAAATGGGAATTGGACAATATAGGGTAAGACCATTATTGGGGTTTCTTGTAGAATGATCCAACAGTTGATCCATAAAAACATTTTGTCACCTCTTCCACAGAATGAGCATTGGTTTGAAGGTATAGAATATACAGAGGTTATGGTGAGGTCCGGAAATAGGTCTATTTTCGACATTTCTCATTCTTATACAAATTTTCATCAATTTTACAGCACATTTTCTTTCGAAAACTATAGAGCACACGCTTGCCTTTCTACCAAATTCATATTTTTTATACAATAATATCAGAAGAAAATCTACC